AAAAATACGTCATAAAGACAATGGCGGGAAGAGCGTTCACTAACTATAATAGTCAAGCGCGGGAAAAGCGTTCAACAACTAATGAACATAATATTGAGTCGCAACAATTCCTAATGAACGCTCATACTCGACAATTCGGCCACCCAGCACCCAGAACATATGTTATGATTAAATCATAATTCAGTATTTTAATTAAATAGCCTTAATTACGTCAATATTTTACGCTATTTTTGACCCCCATCTCACCCACCCTTATCAACAACTGTCAAACTTTAAATGACCCCTTAGTAATTATGTCAAAATTCCCCTTCACCCTCCACCCCAACTGAATTATAATATTAATAAAAATATATAAATAAATTTTACTTTGTGCTGGTCTATTTAGATGACCCAAAAAACTGTAGGGAAAACATTCTATAGGAAAGCCCGCAGGAGTGGCTAATATTCCTGCTGAGTTGGTGAAACAAAGAGGAGAAGCAATGATAATTGCCCTATTCAATGTTTGTAACAAAATATGGCTGACAGGGGGAATGGCCCAAATCATGGACCTAATCGCTCATCATCACCCTCCCCCAAAAAGGTAACCTACAGCTATGCCAAAACTATCGCACCATTAGGCTGTTTGCTCTCTCCCACCCTGATCAACATCTTCCTAGAGAGAATTATGTCAGATGCTCTGGAAGCGCATGAAGTGACAGTCAGCATTGGTGGCAGAACAATCACCAACCTACGCTTTGCAGATGACATAGACGTGCTGGCTGGGAACGAAGAAGAGCTAGCCAACCTGGTAAAGCGTCTCAACAAGACTTTATCGCCCTATGGCATGCAAATCAGTGCCGAAAAGACAAAAGTTATGACAAATAACACCACCTGCATCGCCACTAAAATTAAGGTTGGGGAGGAAAGATTAGAGACTCTAGGCCGCTTCAAATACCTCGGAGCAATAGTCTCAGAAGAAGGCTCCAAGCCCAAACTGTTGTCCAGGATTGCCCAGACCACAACAGCACTAAAGAGGCTCAAGAAAATGTGGAACGACAAAAATATAGCCCCCTGCAACAAAATCAGGATGGTGCGCTCATTAGTCCTTGCCATTTTCCTGTATGCCTGCGAATTCTGGACATTAACAGCCGATCTTGAAAGGAAAATAAAGGCGATGGATATGAGATTCTTCATAAGCATTTTCGGCATCTGCTATAGTGACCATATCTCCAATGATCAAGTGAAAGAAAGGGTTCGCCAGGCAATTGGGCAGTACGATGACCTCCTGGTGACTGTAAAAAAAACAACGCAAACTACTATGGTATGGCCACATGACAAGGAAACAAGGGCTCGCTAAATAAATAATGCAGGGCACCACAAGAGGAGGGAGAAGAAGAGGAAGACAAAGAAAAAGAAAAAGATGGGAAGATAACATCAAAGAGTGGACGGGACTAAAAATTATAGGCGATGCTGTGCGTAGTGCAGAAGGCAGAGACGAATGGAGGAGGATATTTCACATGTCATCTGTGGCGCCCCAACGATCCAAAGATTAAGGGACATGATGATGATGATGTATAGCTAGTTGACTGCAGGCTTTTTAAATCAAGAGCGTTGAGATGGTGTGTTTTTGAATGTGTGCGATTATAAAATCCTTTATATTAACTTCACTTTTGTTTGTGGCAAAAGTTTCGGACGGCTAATTGACCCACTTCCCGTCAACCTATCGAGCTTAAAATTGGCACATCAACTCGTTACCAATGGCAGAACATTCTATCAAATCTTAAGTCCCTCATCTCCCAAACCCTTCAAATAAGATTTTCCTGTTTATCATTGAGTTTTTATTTTAGTCTCATTTATTTCCATTTCAGGTTTTTTTTCACATCGCTATCTTTGGGATGAAAGTAAAACATGAATGACAAAACAAAACCAAAAAAAAATATGCGGAAAAAAAATCTCATCAACTAAACAATCTTGAGTATGGGGGCGTCCTTTAATTATGTCAACAAAATTGGGGAGTTGAGGGAGTTTGTCAAAAAACCGTCAAACATTTCCAATTTATATTAGGATTTCTGTAACAAAAACATTATTCCCGCCCCTCCCCCTGACCCCCCCCCCGCCCCCACCCAAAAATTAATCCCATCGGAAAGTTCCGGGTGCTATATTTAGCCGATGCTATACACAAGTTAAGTTGTCGGCAAACTCATTAGTCAAAAGAGCCAAAAATCAGCAGCAGGATTTTTAAAAAAAAATTGTGAGGGCCAAATTTGTTTTCAATAGCCTACCAAGAACCATGCACTAGTTTAAAAATAAAGAACAATCATGGCCCAGGCCCAGAAGTTGTTTTATTAAGCCAGTTTTAAATAAGGTTAATGAATATTGAATTAATTAATCTTTAATTTTTTTAATGTTTTTTAAATAACTTTTTTAGACGATCACACCAAACTTCAAAGCCAAACCCAAGGCCGTTTAAGATGACTTGAACTTTTTTCATTGTGCATAGGGCAAACATGTATTTTAGGCTTTACTACATGAGCTCATTTCGATTTCCAGGAAAACACTTTGATTGTTGATTTTGAAATATGCCATGCGGGTAACCCCGAAAGTCGTTTTCACAATTGTTTAATTCTAATAGTAAATGGACGTCCTTAGAAAAATGATATTGTAGTTTCAGAAAGTGGAAGAGCTTATAAACAAATTACAAGTTCAGTAGCAAATTTTAAGTTCGAAATCGTAGTCTATACTATAAATAAATCTTTAGGTGAGTGAGAATGTGATCATCGTTTACGGAAGTTTTTTTGTCATCTTGAAACAAATTGTTCAAATAAGACATTTTTTATTATAAAATTATATGTTTTTATAATGCTTAGATTTACCAACTGTTTTGTTACTGTTGTCGTTAAATTTGAGATTTAAGTATGCCTAGATTAATATTGTGAGGGTTCTTAAATTAAAATAATACAAATTGAAATTAAAATAGTATGTAAATAAATAACAGCTTTTAAAATTATTTTTAGTCATGTTTTCTCAACTTTCAAGCTGCTTGTCATTTCCCCCTCCCCTCCCCTAAAACATCACATTGTTTCAGAGGATGTCTTATAAAGTTAAGGATCCTCTAAGTCTAAGCATTGAAGGTCAAATGGAAGTCTTGAGTGGGAAACATGCATATGATAATAAAATTAAGGATCCTCTAAGCATTGAATGCCAAATAACAGTCTTGAGTGGTAAGGATGCATATGATAACAGTTCTGTGAGTTCTGGATCATCACAAGACTCACAAGACAGTAGGACAGGCCTACTGGACAATGTGTTCCCACAGCCAAAAGCACCACAAAACAAGAATCTCCTATGGTAAATTAAAATTATAAGTCTTAATGCTCATGTGATCAGCTGATCTTTCAAATAAAGTTGACTAATTTATAAGAAACACATCAGGCTTACACTTTAATATCTAAGTTAAGACTTTTCAAATCTGGGGTGTTGAATAGGTGAGTGATTAGTTCCTGTAGCCTGGTTTTATTTTAGTCAAATTTTATATGAACTGTTTCAATTATTTCAATAACATAGCTCAAAAGAATCAACACCATTTACAAATAGGCCTACAATTGCTTTAAATTACACATACACACAATTTAAATACGTTTACATAATATATGATAATTACATTTGCAACTAATCCTCTATGCAGTTTACATTTACATAAAAGCTGATATCGGTAGTATTAATGTCCCTTAATCAGTGGCGTAGCGAGGGTGTTTGGCGACCGGGACAAGATTCGCGCCCGGGGACAAGATCCATTTTTAGCGCCCCTTTTTCTTTTTTTCAACTCTCAAACCCAGTATTTTCATCAATAAAATAATATCAAAGCACATTTTGGCGCCCCTAACTAGCTGGCGCCCGGGGACATCTGTTCCCCCCCCTGCCCCACCATGCTACGCCTCTGCCCTTAATGAAATAACACATTCAAGAAAATTTGACATTCCACTAGCTCTGGTTCAACATTGTGTCTGCCAATTAAGGCTTGAAGTAAAATAAGAGAAAAAAATTAATAAATAACTGCGTCTTTCCTTTGACAGGCTGGTGACAGTGATTTCTCTGATCTCCATTGTTCTCTGTGCTGTTGTTGTCACCATCAGTCTCATAGCTCTGAAACTGGAGGTGCAACATGGAGTAAGTGTTCAAGGGTTATTAAACAGTACACTCGGGTGTGAAGTGAGAGGGGTTGGGAGGGGGATCAAAATTTTGTTAAGTGGTATCTAATAAAAGGATTAAGGCTGTGGTGTGGGGGGGGGGTGTTGGGGGGTGTGGGGGGTTACTGACATATTACAAAGCGGAGTGCTGATGAGGAGTAGGGAGGGGTAAAAACATTATCCAAAACTGTGTGATGTCATATATGAATTACTCTTGCAGTAGTTTATAGATCAACTTTGTGTGAAATTTTTATTTCTTTTAATTTAGATTGAAGAATCTGCATCAAAGCCACCTGTGGTTTGCATTGAATGCATCAAGATAATAAAGAACCCATACAACTTGTCTGAGGTAGATCCACTGATGGATTCCCTGGACAAGGTCTTTGAGGATGGTGTGGAGAAATGTTGTGCTCACAACAACTCACAGTTGTCTGCCTTAATTGAAATGGTAGGTAACAAAGCTGTAAATGTAATTGTACAGGTCAGATAAGATATTTATAGTCTAAGGCAGCGGTTCTCAGCCTTTCTAATGTCGTAACCCATTAACACAGTGCCTCATGTTGTGGCGACCCCCAACTACAAAATTTTTTGCATGGATACTTCATAAATGTAGAGTATATGTGTTTTCCGATGGTCTTAGGCAACCCCTGGGAAAAGGTCATTTGACCCCCAAAGGGGCCGCAGCCCACAGGTTGAAAACCGCTGGTCTAAGGAGTTTAACAGCCTGGAGAAAAATATTTGTTTTGTGAGGGACAAATTTGAATTTGTTGATTGTTGTATACAAGAGATGTTTTCAGCAAACAAAAATGTTAAAAATCCTTAATATCACAACATTCTTCATCATGGGACCAATTCCCATTTAAACAATGTCTATTGTCTTTATTGTACTAAATAATTAATATTTACTTTGGAGCAATCAAAGGAGTCATAATATGTAAGAAAGGAAAGATAATTGTAACATTGTTTTACTTACTGTACCAAGTTATGCAACTTGTCAAGCATACATTTTAAAAAATCAAATCTTTTTTGTTTGATCATCAGAGCATGCGACTGCAAAGGGTTAATACAGGTAAAGTACTTATTATCATTTTTATTAAAAGTTGAACAAAAATAGTGTTATATAGCATTAGATCCCATCATGGATTTTATCATTATGTATGTAGCAAGAGCTATGATGTTAAATTATTTTTACAATGTTTATTTTTCTCTTGATTCAGTTAGAATCTTCAAAGCAATATTAATAAAAAAGAAACACTTTTTTGGTTTAAAAAAAGGCATTAGGATCTTTTCATTTTTCATGTAAAATAAAAGAAAAAGAAGAAACGAGTTTATGGTAGCCCCTGAGAAAATTACAAAAACTCAAATGTTGATAATTTTATTCACATAAGAGCCTTTATGAATAAATTGTAATTAGAAATGGTCGTAAATTTTTTTATTTAAAATGCCATTAACCACTTTACATTTAACACATACTACTACATGTATAATACATGTATTTTCAGCTCCCTTACCAGATTTCAATGTTTCTGATTTCAAGTTCAGCCCAGTGTCTGCTCACAAACGTCTGTACCCTCCGAAAAATCCATTTCCAGAGGTTAATTACAGAAAAAGAGGTATTATGGAAATTTATTTTATCTCTATAATTATTGAATTATTAAATATGAAACTGCAATATCATTTTCTGAACCATTAATTCTTTTACTGAATATATATTTCTAATAATAATTGTTGAAAAATTTATTCAACAATTTTCTACTTAATATTTTAACTTAAACATTTTAGTTCAAGTCTAGTTTTGATTGCATATTTTGTTTTGGAAACTCCTTGAGATTTTGCTGTTCCCCAAAATTTACTTCTTCGTTTATGATGTGTGTTTTGTTTTAAATTCCTAATTGTATAAAGTTTATTATAAGTTTTATCTCAGCTTTAAAAGGATAAATAACACACAACTTTTCTTTTACGGTAGTTCCAAGGTTTGAAAATAGCAGTGTCTATGTACTTTTCAAATATGAAAAAAGCATGTCAGATCCTTTACTGGAGCATGAGCATGGTGTTGAGGTTTTGAACGATGGTTTGAGAATAGTTTATTCAGGTGCATATTATGTGTATAGCAGCATACACTTCAGACCTGAGTCAGCTCACCCTTGCAAGAGCTTCTTGTACACAGTAAGTTTTTATAAGTATTTATGAAATAAAATATGTTCAAGTTCAAGACTTAAAATTTAAAAAAAGTTCTTTGATAAATAATAGTGAAGCATGTCTGTTATTTCTAATACTTATTTCTTTGCCGGCGGTTGACTGTGAATATTCCTGTGCTGTTGACTGAAATTTTTTTTCTAATGATTCTTAATAGACCATTTCATTTTTATGTTTTTCAAACTTTAACGCCATGTTGATTGTTAGGATTAGGAAGTCACCAGAAAAACAGATGGAAACAATTTATTGACTGCCACATTACAAAAATTAATGGACTTAGGTTCAAAAGTATCAGAAATAATGAAAAAGATAACTGATTTGTATTTTATTTTTATTAATAGACTTTTATTCCATGTCCAGACTTGGGGCCACTCGGTTGAAAAACTATCCCCTAACAGCCCGGCCCAGACCGGTTGTCTCCTTAAGACAGCTCACACCTGCTGTGATCATTGCACCATGGATGAAGAGACAAGTTACACTGGTGAGTTTGTTGAATGCATGTTCTCTTGAAATGGATGCAATTATTTTTAGTGTTTTTTTTTAAAGCAAATTAATCTGAGTAAATATATGATCAGTATACAATTTTTTTAAATTAAGAATCTTTCTAACATCATCAGGTAGGTATACCTGGAAACAATATTTTCTTATCCCTGGTCTTACAAAGATATCAATGAAATCTGATTACTTATAATACTTTAATTTTTAAAAAAATGTTTCCACATAATTTAGAGCAACTATGGGTAAAATTTCTTTCTTTTTTAATATGAATTTCTAAATTTGCACAGGTGGAGTTTTTAACCTTGAAGCAGGTGACATAATTCGTGTAAGTGTATCGGGACATGGCCTTGTTTACTTCCGCCAACAGACAAGTTTTGCAGGAGTTTTTATGATAGGATTAGCAAATCCTTAAATTAAGTAAAATAATTAATTGTCATAAAAGAAAATGAAGAAACACTCTTATATGGTCAGGAGAATGAATATTTCAGAATGAACAATTTTTTACAGTTTTTGAACATAAAATATATTGATATTTAAGTCATAATAATATTTAAGTTGCTCAATGTTATAAATTTTCTTCACAGATTCCCAGAATTAAATTTAAACAAAAAAATTTTTGGTATCAATTCCTTGATGTTTCTTCAAACTGTTGTAGATCAGAATTCTTGTTCAGGAACGTTGGTTAAAAGTGATAAAGTAAGAAAAAACATACAGACAATGCAAATGCGTATTAGAATGAAATGTGGATAAATAATGAATCTCTAGGCCTCTGACCAAAGCCTTCATATAACGACTAAATAAAACAGTTTGTTTTTATTGACAAAGAGGAATGTTACATAAACTCAATATGTTGGATATTAATTCCAATTCTCAAGTTATGGAAAGTAGAGGTTGGAGTTGCAACCCCAGTTTCTTTTAATAATAAAACGGAAATGTTACATAACTACTCAAACCAAATCATGCTGGCTTATTGATCATTGTCATATTTACTGAAGTGCCAAAAAGTTTGAAGAGATCACTTTTGATTTTCTTTAACTCAGTGAATCATCTTTAGAATAGGCCTACCCTATTTCCTATGTGTTTAAATGACAGCCTCTTAGTTTTGTTACATAATTTCTTTTGAGTTTGACATGCAAATAATATAATTTGCTGGATAAAAAAAGACTTGATACATTGATTTGAATCTACATAAAAGTACCCCACTAATGTTAATGGTCGTCTATAATTTTACTAGATTTGAGCTGTTAATAAAAGAAGTGTGTGCATTCAGTCACCTTATAGGTAATAATGGTCATAATAAGGTGATTGAGCACCATAAAAAGTTAAATATAACTCATACCTGAACTGTGTGTTTTAACAATGTTTTATGATAATTAATTTATTATAAAACTTTTTTGATTCAAATAATATAAAATGTTTATTTTTGAAGTTTTTATCAAATAAAATGATTCTTATATTTAAATTGTGATTGAGTATTATTTATTTAAATAAGCAACTGACTTTTTTTATTACCAGTACAACTCATTAAAAAAATGAACCATCGCAAAAGTTTTCTATATCTTATATTTACATTGATTTCTTTTAGTGAGATGAATAAACAGGTGTGAGGATGTAATGTAGAAAAAAAAATGAGTGAGAGAGAGGAGAAAGTCAAAGCATTTAAACCACAGTAAAAGATTTAGGGTGGGCTATTTATTCTATAACAAGTGTTCTCAACTTATGGTCCAAGCAACCATTAGTTCTTTGCAACTCGCTACCGTACCCAGTGGTTTAGCAAGAAAGTGTTTACATCTTAAACTTTGAATAGAAGCCTAAGAATTTATCTAATCATAGGGCTTTTGAAGCTGATTTTAAAAAGTTAAACTATCACCAGTAAAGGATTATAAATGGAGGACAGCGTTTAAGCTGTGTGAATGAAATAGTAGAACAAGGTGTGTGGAAGCTAGAGATAGAAAGACAGGAAAATCAAAGAATTTTGCCTCAGAGCCTTCCTCAGCATACAGGACAGTTGTAAAAACAAGAAATAGAAAGTAGTTCAAAAACTTAAGTGGTCGCCATTTATATTATTGCGGGATGTTGGTTTTTACCAACTAATGCAAAGTAATTTGTGAATGACCACTTCAGATTAGTCTCAAATTTACGCGTGACTCAAGACTATAAAAGAAAACAAGGCTGCATGTATTAAATGAAATGACCATTGATAGACACATTTTAAAAAAATGAGGAAAGAAGTAAATTTAATCAACTTTTGGATATGGAACATTAGCCGTAATATTTGTCACAATTATTTTGTTCTGACATGCATGTGATCTTTCCTTGGTGAAGACTCCTATAATTTCGACAAACCACTACCCGTATTTATAACCCATTTACCCTATTCACAAATCAACCAACATACTCTCCAGATCAATTAATATGCAACACTTTGTTCACAATTTTGTCAGAATTTATATATAATTCAATTATATTACTGATTAAAAAACTAAACTTTAATAACATTGTTTCATTTTCAGCATAAAAAAAATCAGTATAAATAAAACATTGTGAATCTACTTGACAAATTTTAATAAAAGAAATTTTTCATATCAATATTCAATCATTTAAAAAAATAAAAATAAAAAAAAATACTCTGTGTCATCTAAACATTCTATAAGGCCCATAATACAATTTTAAACGATTCATGTAACAATGCAACATAAATTGGTAGCCAAAACATTTAAGTAGATATGCAACAATTTCAGATGGAATGTGGATCACAAAACACTTTTTAGATCATGGAAATAGTATATGGTCATTAAATTATTATTATGGAGACTGATCAACTACGTACATTATTTAAATTTGTGTCGTTTATTGACAATTAAAATCTTGCTTTCTGGGGAAATTTGAAAGAAAACAAAGCAATGTTAAAAACATAAGGTTTTTCCAAGGAGTAAAATTATCTATCAAATCTGATTTACAAATATGGTTGTTGTTTCTTGGAACTGTTAATTTTGTTTTTAAATATATAGAGTAAATAATAAAAAAAAGAATGTTTAAAGAAACAAACATTACCAAGTAATTGAACCCTGAACTCAGCTCTATGAGAATAATAATCTATAAATCAGAGGTTCTCAACCTTTCTAATGCCGCGACCCTTTAAAGTTCCTCACAATGTGGCGACCCCCAGGCACAAAATTATTTTTGTTGACACTTTATAACTGTGGAGTATATGTGTTTTCCGATGGTCTTAGGCGACCCTTGTGAAAGGGTCATGTGACCCCCAAACCCACAGGTTGAGAATAGCTGCTATAGATAAAAATTCAGGAATTAAGATGGGAAATTTTTTTTTTTTTTAATGTTTCAAGATCTGAGCAAAGCAGAAGTCAGCTTTGATTGCATGGGTATTAAACTGTTTTTTGTTGTCGGAAGGCTTTTTGATGACTGGTTAGATGGTTTGTCTTCTTTCTGGTTTTCAGTCTGTTAACTGTTACATGAGAAGGAAAAGAAAAGTTTCTGCACGTTATAGGACATTGAAATTTTCTTACTGACTGACATGATTGTTTCATCTCACACTTTTTTTGGTCCTACAATACTTCTTCCTTTGCACCAACATATCAATTATAATCCATTCATTATGCTTCCGGTATTCCAAATCTTTAAACTATCAATATATAGGTGGATCTACTAGTAAAGATCATTTTGTATAAACTTTAATTTAATAAACTCAAAACACATCTCTTTAAAATCTACTATCCTGACTGATTCCCCCCCCCCCCCTATGACCGAAAAACGATGCTGCTGGGTAGCTGCCCATGGCTTGACATGTCAATAGTTCTTGAATGTGTGGAGCAAATATACATTTGTTTTGTTTTATTTAATTAATGCATTTTAATTTTTAAGTTCATGATTATGTTTGTTAAATTGTATGTACAGCGTGGAGAGCCCAGCCCTAGGCGCGCTATATAAAACCACCACTAATAACAATAATAATAAAAATAATTTATTGAATTATCCATCTTAAAATAAAACCTCTTGGCAAATTAATATTAAATAAAAATTATAAAAATACTAAGAATGTTTCCATTCCTATGTTACTGTACTGTCTTACTTTGATTAGTCCAAAATAGGATGAACGTGGCTTGGAGAGTCCTAGTCCACATCCTGATATTGAGATGCGTATACTATCTCCAACTTTCAATTCATGAATGCTAACTGATTTAGAGTCAGACAAAAAAATAAAGTTTATTTGACTCTAAAAGTGTTTAAAAAAGCTGTGGAACAAAAGAAAATTTATTTATCCAATCTCATTGAATCACTTCACAAGTACGGCTTAACCAGGTGAGACAATACAAAGCGAGCTCAAGTCCAAGTTTTACACACAAAAAAATAAAAGAGTTGGCGAGAAGTAAAACATTGCATATATAGAACCAGTAGCAATCACGAAAGCATCAAAACACTAATAGGTTAATAATATAATCCTAACCCAGTTGTTCTCAACCTTTTGGTGCCACGACCCCTTTATAATGTTTGCCAAGTTGTGGCGACCCACAATCAGAATTGAGAAATAGGTGTTGAGAAGGTTGAAGGGACAATGTGTAGCAAACTGCGTCCCTAAGTCGATTTCACAATTAACAAACTCCCGTAGTAGGTGGGTTTACTGAACAGTCATTTTGATAGGCTCTATTGTTGTCTAAGGGAGCAACACTTGACTCGTCTATACTTGATGAGCACAACAATAACGTTTATTTACAAGGCCACAATAGGTCACAAGTTCACAAATGCCATCTGTGAGTCCACACTACACAAACTCTTAGGATGACTGTCAACACCTGGGTCTGTCTATGACCAACTGGGACTTCCATATTTCACAATACGCCGACAACTAACTAAGGACTCTCAATATAACAGTCTAACTTGCAACATGGCTTAACATACTAACTTGCAACATAACATACAAAAGAGACTGACCGAAAGTGATTTTCTGATCTCGGACAAAAGCGAAACTAGGCCGAAATTTAATATTTCAATTTCGGCCATAGCAGAATTTAAACCGAAATTCAACTTTTTGGTTTCGGCGGAAACTGAAATATTTAGGAATTTTGAAATTCGTCCACGCATACATTCTGCATCCATAAAAAAAAAATGATGGGGGAAAATTCATGCAAAATAGACCCTTGAGTGACCTTTTCTTTTATAATAAAATTATGATCTAGAACATATACCTAAAATAATTATTGTGGCTGTAATAAAGCCAATTTTCACCTAAATATCAGTTATTAAGGCTATAGAAATATCACCACAATGTTTTCCGGTTTTCATCATACTAATGCTTTGTGTTTTCATAAATAGCTGGCCAGATTCCCTGTATTAATATTTAGCCTAGTACCAACACATTAGGCTTACTGTGCTGGTGACATAATAATTTTGTTCGGCGATCAACTTCCCTCACCTCGCTTGGTGGAGGAAAATTTTTTTAAACTGGGTCTCTTATAATAGTTCTTTTGATGGGTCTCAACGGAAAATCGCAAGACATCTAAATTGATCGCCTAAATCATAAAAGTAAACAGGTCTGCAGTAGGCCTACAACACAATTATAATACAAGCCAGCGATACATGCACACACTTGTTCTTTCGTCAATAACAATGTTCATGAGCATGATAATCATGAATTTCAAGACATGAATGAATTGAAAAAGCCTAGGTTTCCTTAATTTAAAAAACAACAACAATAAAACAAAAATAATAGGAGAAATGTTACCTTTCCCTCGGATTATGCAATATTATTCACCTTTGCCTATGACAAAGTTGATGAGCATGATAATGATAAATCAAAAAGAATATCACAAATAAAGGAATTGAATAAACCTAGGGTTCCAAATTTTATTTTGAAAAAATTAAAACAAAAATAATGATATAAAACATTACCACTCCACTAGTTTTTCTTCCACAAAACTGTTTACATTTTTCTAGGCCTAAAAAGGACAAGTAGGTCATCATGGAGCTTTGAGCCGTTTTTGCAGAGTATTAGTCATATAACATACAATGACAGTTGGACATTCAGCAATAATGAATATCAGATTGCCAGCCTAGAGAAAGACAAACAGTCTGACCTCTGGTAGATGACCGAAAACCCCAATCACTTTCGTCCAAAACCGAAAATAAACAGAAAGTTAACATTTCAATTTCAGCCGCAGACAAATTAAACCGAAATTTAACTTTTTGGTTTCGGCCGAAAGTAATCAAATGGCCACTTTCGGCGCCGAAACCGATATTCGGTCGGTCTCTTTGCAGCTCATTTAGCTTACATTTATTTTCACACCAATCGCCAGTCAGTTTTCTATTATTTATTTAATTCTGATAAAATGTACCAAAAAAATTCTATGAAAAAGATGTACTGATTCTTTACATGCACTTTTCATTTCTCCTCATTTGGGTGGAACTCATTATAGAAAATGAGAATATAACTCTTTTTTTTTTTAAAAACTCATTCCCGGCGGTTGCAACAAATGCCTCCTTTGTGGGTTTTGACGGATGTGTCCAAATGTGTCCCAGCGCATAGCGTCACACCTCTCGCCTTTTTAGTTAAAAATAGCAATGAAATCTCGCATCCCTCGAGACTTCTAGCGATGGTGTGATTTCAATTTAAAAACCTAAATTTTTTTTGTTTCACTTTAAAACTATGTGTGCTTTAGTACAGCGTGTCTATATGTAGCATGTGTTTTTGATTTTTTTGTCATTGTTCATTATTTTTTCCTTGCTAACATTTAATTTTTTTTTTATTAAACCTTATTTTGTATGCATATAACAGACCTGTTTACCCCCAAACTCCTAAAATCGTACAATATCGTCTCAAAATCGTACAATGCAGTATTTTGATAGTAAATAAATAAAAATACAGTATATACAATGTATACAATAACTACTCCTATAGCATGTTCAGTGGAATCGAGTTAAGCTGGCGTCAAAATATAGAACTGATGGTTAACGGTAGATGACTGACGTTAACCGCAAACGGCGGTCACTTTGTTTTGCAGACGTGTATCGGCTAGTACAATATATTAATTACTATTTGGGTTAACGTGCTGATCACATTATCCCAGTCTGTCAAAGGTAAAAATAAAGTCACAGATGAAA